TTTTCTTTTTGCTTATGTGGTGCTGAGGAATCGAACCCAGGGCCTCAGGCATGCAAGGCAAGTGCTCTACCACTGAGCCACCTTCCCAGCCCCAGTGGAGCTAACTTTAGCAGTGGGAAGTGGTCACTGACAGAGCAAGGAGACTGTGACAAATCTTTCCTTTGAACCTACAGTCTATGGCTGGTAGTGGAACTCTTTGCCTAACATTTAAGGCCCTGGGTTCCATCTACAACAATTCAAGAAGAAAACAAACAAACAAACAAATACTCTAGAGGTAGGTGCCCAACCTGAGAATGAAGAGAAGCTAGAGGAAAACGAAGTGACTCTACCTGCCGAGTGTGCATGCGGACAGTCACCTGGCCATACATGTTGCTCTGCTTCAGTAGGCTTGAGCAGCGAACCTGAACCACTTGGGCAGGCTCTAAAGATTCCACAAAGCTCCAGCGGACTGTCTTATATTTGAGATCCCAGACCATGTCCTAAGGGCAGAGGAGAATAAATTAAACTGAGTTTTCCCTTTCTTATTCAGACACTGCTACCACTATACCTGCACTTGCATCTTGCAATATTATAGGCAACAAGCACTTTCAGCTAAATGTATCTATTTTCTTCCCAAGTTGTTTTGTTTGTTTGTTTTTAATGATGATCCTGAGGCTAGGACTCAGAGCTTCCATTCCCATTCTTCTTGTTTGCTCATGCTTGGCACTCTACCATCTGAGCCATGCCTCCAGCCCAGATTTTTGCTGATTAATTGAAGCTAAAGCTTGGCAGACTTTTCTACCCAAGATTGGCTTCCAACCAAGATCCTCCAGGTCTCTGCATCCTGAATAGCTATAAATATATCTAGGAGTTACTTTTTTTTTTTTTTTTGTCAGTTGTGGGGCCTGAACTCTGGGCCTAGCCATTCCCCAAGCTGTTCAGCTGTAGACCAGTACTCTACCACTTGAGCCTCAGCCCCACTTCTGGCTTTTTCTTCTTATGTGGTGCTGAGGAATCGAACCGAGGGCCTCATGCATGCAAGGCAAGCACTCTACCACTGAGCCACCTTCCCAGCCACTATAGGAGATACTGGTACCCAGATTCTTCCCAAGTTTTGATTAAAAGATTGCACAAGCTCACTCTTTCATCTAAATCAAGACTGAAGACCTGCTATCTCTTGTAGGACCCTTTACATGCCACATGGTAAGATAACCAATACACTATGCTTCCTTACTTACACATTCATAAATATGCATATGCTTCTATTGAGTGCCTGTCCCCTGCCCCACAACATGTTTTAGCAGTGAAAGGCGGAAATTTTGTAAGGACATAAGGATTATACTGCTAATACTTGAGAGAATACTAAAAACTTAAGTTCTACTGACAGTAAAGCTAAATTTTAGAAGAAGTTTTTTTTGGGGGGTTTGGAGTCTTTTGTGCTGGTCTTGGGGCTTGAATTCAGGGCCTGGCAACTGTCTCTGAGCTTTTTTTCTTCAAAGCTAGTGCTCTGTCACTTGAGCCAAGCTCCACTTCTAGCTTTTTAGTGGTTAACTGGAGATGAGTCTCCTTCCCAAGATGGCTTCCTGAGTCCTTATGATTACAGTTATGAGCCACAAGCACCTGCCTAAAAATGAACTTCTTATTCTTTGTACCATTCTTGCGGCTTGAAGTCAGGACCTGGACGCTATTCCTCAGCTCTTTTTTGCTCAAGGCCAGTGCTCTGCCACTTGAACCACAGGCTCCACTTCTGGCTTTTTAGTGGTTAATGGAGAAGATTCTCACAGACTTTCCTGCATGAAAAGCTTTGAACCATGATCCTCAGATCTCAACCTCCTGATTAGCTAGGATTACAGATGTCAGCCACAGTCACCCAGTGGAAGTTCTTATTATTGAATTTCTAACTGAACCAAGAGAATCCACCTTCTTGTGTATCTAGCACCCTCCTCAACTCTGGCTAAATGATTCACTGTAGTATAAACATGTATACGTGCAGCATCAAGTAGCCTGTTCTGCCCTCTGTGGTTCAGTACTACCCACTAAGAGACTTTTTACTTTTTACCAACCTCTGCCAATCATTATCACTCAGCAAAAAGTAAAAGACTTATGCTTATGCCTTAAACCTTATGCACTTTCAAAACCAGTCCTTCTGGGGAAAAAAACAGACCCTGATGTGTTGCTTCATGTATATAACCCCAACAATTGGGAGACTAAGGTTTGAGACAAACTTCCTGGGCTACATAGTTAAGGTCATGTTTAAAAAACAAAAAGTCAGCTGGGTGCTGGTGGCTCATGCCTATAATCCTAGCTACTCAGGAGGCTGAGATCTGAGGACCGTGGTCAAGCCAGCCCAGGCAGGAAGTCCATGAGACTCTTATCTACAATTAACTACCAGAAAACCAGAAGAAGCACTATAGCTCAAAGTGTTAGCATACCAGCCTTGAATGTAAAAGCTCGAGGACAGTGCGCAGGTCCTTAATTTTAAGCCTCATGACTGAAAAAAAAAAAAAAAGACCCCAGAACTCAGGTGGCTCAAGGCTTTAATACCAGCTACTCAGGAAACAGATCAGAAGGATCAGTTTGAGGCTAGCCTGGGCAGAAAGTTAGTAAGACACCCCCCTCCATCTCAACCAATAAGCTAAGCATGGTGGCATGTGTCTATGTACCCAGCCCGGGCAGGAGAGACCGTGAGACTCCTATCTCCAATAAACCACCAGAAAACCGGAAGTGGCGCTGTAGCTCAAGTGGTAGAGCGCTCGCCTTGGGCTGAAGGGCTGAGGGGCGGCGCCCAGGCCCAGAGTTCAAGCCCCACGACCGACAAAAAAAAAAAAGAAAGTTCAAGCCATAGGTAGAAGCTAATCCAGGAAAAAAATTGAGATCCTACCTAAAAGTATAAAAAGAAAAGGGCTAACAGTATAACTCAAGTGCAGACCACCTGCCTAGCAAGCATGAGACCTCAAATTCAAATTCTTGTATTGCCAAAAAAAAAAAAAAAAAACACAAGCTACAAGTAATATCTAGAATCTGCCTACTCTGGCATCATGCAGTTTTAAGGATAAGAACCTACCGTAAAACAGTGTTCAGTTACCAAAGTATGAAGCCGGTCATGGTCTGAACTAGAAAAAAAAAGAGGTATTTCCATCACTGATTCCTGCTTTTATGATATCCTGTAATGGAAGTTAAATATAGCCATGAAAGTGAAAATTTAATTATTTGTTTTGTGCTGGTCCTACGGCTTACACTCAGGGCCTGAGTAGCATCTATGAGCTTTTTTGCTCAAGACTAGCACTCTACCACTTGGGCCACAGTTCTAGTTGCAGCTTTTCAGTGGTTAATTGGAAATAAGAGTCTCATCGTCTTTCCTGCCCCAGCTTACTTCAAACTGCAATCTTCAGATTTCAGCCTCCCGCATAGCTAGGATTACAAGAGGAAGCTATGGGTACACAGCAAAATAATTCATTTTTATAAATATTTTCTGTACATCTATTATAAGAGATAATGTGGTCTATTCTAGGGACACAAAGATGAATGATAAGATTTATCAAAAACCATTGGAATTTAATAGCATAGTAAAATTATCCTATGGAACAAAAAGAAATTTCTC